GGGGGCATGGGTTGCTGCAGGGGGCATGGGTTGCTGCAGGGGGAGGCCTGCATGGCTTGCAATGGGGGAATGGTCTTGGGAGACATACAGTGAGCTCAACATTAGGCCCCAGGGCATCTGGCCGTCACACAAGCAAACTGCTAGATATATATGAGCGTGGATCTCAGAGAACTCTTGGAGAAATACATACATGATACTTTCTCAACATGGCTCAACTTATGGGCCATATTTAACAGTAAATGGCCACGTGACATGACCTCAGTATAAAACTTCCTAGCACTAACTATAATCCTGTCACTCCAGTGGCACCACTTGAATCTAGTGATGGCATCAGGCACTACACATAGGTCTGCTGATGAGCAGAGGCCCAACAATCTGTGTAGACGGAGAGATACAACAATTCCGTCAGTTCCAATGAGGTCTACCCAGGACGCATCACTAGACTGCGTGTGTGAGGCCCCGGGTTTAAATCCCAGCACCACAAAAGGTTCCACCATTAGTGATGGGACAGTCATGCTAAAACCATTGTGAGCAGACACTTTAGGGCTGAGGATAAAGCCCTGTGGTGGGGCCCTTGCTTCAGATGCTCAGGCCCTAGGGTCACCCCAGCGCTGGGGAGGGGAGGAGGGGAGGAGGGGAGGAGACCATGATGGAAGTGCTCGGTTTAGGGATGGGGAGGCAGAGGGGAGGCAGGGGAGGCTGCAGAGGCACCCTGGGGCAGGGGAAGGGGGTTCAAGGCCCAGATTATCTCCTCTTAAGTCAGAGAGTCACACCACAGGGAACGATGGAGCATTGCTGTTTTTAAAAGAAAGGCGAGATTTAACCATGATGATGGCGAAAACGTCACACATACTGGTTCGTGGGGCAGAGTCACATGGGAAGACCATGGAGATGCAAAGTGAGGAGTTCCACAATGCACCACAGACACAGGACAGCCCAGCCACCCGCAGGCTTTGTGAGAGACCACGCACAGCTCAGTGTGTGGACAATACCGTCCCGAGACAACACGGCCCGACTGCCCCACGGTAGGACCCCACGGCGGCAAGCTTTCTACGCCACCTCAGCACTGAGAGACAGAGCCCCGGCTGGATTCAGGAGCCCCCATTATCCATCAGAGTACCCTGACCTTCATCGAATTTCCACCTGTATCAGCATTTGTATATTGACAAGCTTCCCTAACTTAACAACTGGATATTCCCTAAAAACTAACATTCCTTTTTTAAACAAACCAACCATTTTTATCAATTCTTTCAGAATTTTATACAGTGTATTTTGATCGTATTCACCCTTCCCCCAACGTCTCCCAGACCCACTTCCACAATTCCTTAACCACCCAACTTCATGTTCTTGCTCCCTATTTTTTTTAAATCCACCCAATTTATGCTGTTCAAATACTCTTGGGAGCGGGGCCTGTCCTGAGTAGCGGCTGACTTACCAGGGGCCACCCCTTGAGGAAAACAGACTTTCTCCAAGCAACTACCACCTGCCAATAGCTCCTCAGCAAGGGTGGGGCTCACGTCCACCAGCCACGCTGGGATTGTCTGGCTTGGCTGCACAGGCCTCGTGTGCTGTCTCAGTCACCGAGAGTTTGTTCTGCCCTTTGTGTCTGGACGGCAGTCTTCTTGTATCCATCCCCTGCCTCTGGTTCTTAGACCCAGTATCCCTGAGCCTCGGGGTGGGTATGAAGAGCCTACTACTGTTATTAGTATAAAACGACCCCAGTGACCCTTGTACCCACAGGCCACTGCATCTCTCACCTTCATCAAAGATGCTGTTTCTTAGAGTAATGGCGATGAGCACGCAGACCCACAGCTGGCCAGCTACAGAGACTGCGAGACTGTGGAGTGCTCGGTCCAAATGGACATCTATATCATACCCCATTCTCTCTGGTCTGGCTGCGATTACAAGTGCCTGGTTCTATGCTGGGATCCTAAGGGCAAAACAGAACATCACCCCAGCTATCGGCTTCCCAGGGGTTGGTTTTGTCAGCAAAGGATGGCCTCCTGCCCACAGGGTGGCAAGTGTTTTTCTTCTTCCTGATGCCCATGATACAAGCAGTGGTTACTGTTAACTTCCCAGGACGTGGACGATGCTTACACATGACGACGGAGTATGCTCTAGTCTCTCTCTAGGTTTCATAGCAAATCTTCACAGAAATTACAGTATCTGCTTCATGGATGAGAAGCCAGTGTGCAGGCAGCTGGGCGCATGGCTCAGAGCTGCCCAGGCAAAGGTGGGACGTCTGGGATTGGAACAGACGGCTCTCACCATACCCCTGAGTTCTCTGTGCCTTCCTGCCTCTCATCCCCCCAACGTGGGGATGAACTAGGACTGATTCCGAATCGTGGGACCGTTGGGGAGGAACTGGTGAGGATTCTGACTCCTGCTGTCCCTGCTCTCTCACCCACTCACCCCTGCTCCCTCACCCCCTCACCCCTACTCCCTCACCCACTCACCCCTACTCTCCCACCCACTCACCCCTACTCCCTCACCCACTCACCCCTACTCTCTCACCCACTCACCCCTACTCTCCCACCCACTCACCCCTACTCCCTCACCCACTCACCCCTACTCTCTCACCCACTCACCCCTGCTCTCCCTCACCCACTCACCCCTACTCCCTCACCCACTCACCCTTACTCTCCCACCCACTCACCCCTACTCTCTTACCCACTTACCCCTGCTCTCCCTGACCCACTCTCCCCTACTCTCCCACCCACTCACCCCTGCTCTCCCTGACCCACTCACCCCTACTCTCACCCACTCACCCCTACTCCCTCACCCACTCATCCCTACTCTCCCTCACCCACTCACCCCTACTCTCCCTCACCCACTCACCCCTACTCTCCCTCACCCACTCACCCCTACTCTCCCACCCACTCACCCCTACTCTCACCGAGTGTCTCTTCCCCAGGAAGCAAAGCTGCTCACATACCTGACTGAGATCACACTTTGCACTGAGACTCACACCTTGCACCGACACCCTTCACTGCCCCTGTAAAGAAGCTCCTGCCAGACGCAGACAAGGCCTTGATGGGCACAGCCCCAGTCTGTGCCAGAACAAACTCCCAGGTGTGCAAAGTGTGCAAGGCCGGGGTGGACGGACTTGTTTTTGATGAGGACTCTGCTTCTCTCCCCAGCTCCTTCCTTTAACCCAGCCTCGAGGACACACTTCCTGCAGATGGACACTAGGTACTGGAGATCAAAGTCAGCCGCCACCTCAGAAAGCAGTCCGGCTCACGGTGTGGGGAGGACGGAGAAGGATGGCAGTCAGGGTGCAGTGGGGTCAAAGGCTACGAAAAGCCAGTGAGGCTTGGGGTGGGGTGGGGCAACCTGAAGAGAACCAGGAAACGTTTTGTGCTAACGAGCTCTGGTTTTTTAAAACCCTGAGTGTCTTATCTACCTAATCACCTGGAATTCAAAAGACCAGCAATATCGTCCTGGAGTCTGTCAGCTTCTGATCCTTTCATTTACAGCCTCCGTGGCCTGATCCTCCACAGACGGTGATCATCAAGGCACTCAGAGTGGCTAGAGTTCCTCACAAACCACCACTGTGGGAGCAGCAGTGAGAAGGGCCTTGTCTGAAGAGAGACTCGTGGGGTGGGGCAGGAAAGGGGGTGGGACATGTAGGTGGCATTTCAGCCTCGACCACAGCATCGGCCTCTCTCCGAGCCGAGAGGGACCATCTGATACACGGCTCAGTCATTTCACCAAGATTTTAAACAGGCCAATGATCTGACCTCGCAGGGTGCCATTCTCCTGTTCGAAGTGTCACGTGACTCGGTTGGTGAGTGAGCATCAAATGAAACGGGCCTGGGAGGCACTAGCACACAGCAGCATCAGTCAAACCACATCTCTCCCTTCCACAGAGCACAGTGCAGAACATGGGTCACATCATGGTTGACTTATGCTGTCTATGGCTGTGGGACACATTCCAGATCCTCAGACTCATCTCACAGTTCCGAACATTTATCAGTTATAAAGGAAAGCAAGTGAGGGAATTTATGTGGAATATATGCAGAGACAGACAGACAGACAGACACCTGTATAGTTGACCCTCACTGGAGAAGAAAAGATGGGCTCTGGTGTTAATGTCTGCATGCTATCTCACTACTACTTAATGGGACAGTAACTCACATTCCTGCCCCCGTGCCTTCCCACCGTGATAGACTATGCCCTTTCTAACTGTGAGCCAAATAAAACCCTCCTTAGACGGCTTTTTAGTCAGGTATTTTGTGATAAGAATGAATAACTACTACAGATTCAGGCACATATGTAACATGTACATATCCATCCAGTCTGTTGTTCCCAGCATGCTCAGCTTCCTGCTGAGGGTGGGCAAAGAGATCTGTCCACTATTGGCCAACCCCTGATGCACCCAAGGCGAAAGCTGCCTTCCCACAGGCCTGGTTTCCCAGGTGATGCCCACTAAGGCTCCCCTGCCTTCCCTTAAGATTCTATGACCCTCTCTGCCTTCCTTGGTCCCGTCCCCACCTCGCATGGCCTGAGTAGGCCGCATCTATAACAGACATTCTTTGAGAAAGCAAAGCCAAGCTAGAAGAAGATACCCAGAGGAGACCACAGAGGCAGAACATGCGGGCCCAGGAGGACTTACCTGCAGAGCCTGCCGGACAATGCTGGAGGTGTGCGTCAGCATGCCCAGCAGGATATCAAGCAGTGACGTCAGCAGCATGGCCGCCGGCTCTGTGTTGTTCTTATTGTCACTGTCCAAGCACAGTGTGGCAGTTTCTGTGAACATGTTACAGACGTGACCAACAAGTCCTGACGGCAGAAAAAAAGGAAAAGTTCTGTCGTAAGATGATAAAAATAACACGCCATGTGACCTTGCAGAGGCGCCGTGACTCGGTGTGGTGTGGACTGGGCACTGGCACTGTTTACTTGGGAAAGCCGCTGAAAATGAAGGTTTCTAAGCCTCAAACCCCCGGGTCTGCTCAGGGTCTAGAATGGGCCAAGGGATCTTTCTTTTCTTTTTTAAGTTCTTTGAGAATTTCATATAACGTGTTTCGGTCATCACCTTCTCCCTGCTCCGCTCTGACCCACCCCCCATCCTACTCACCCAGCTTCGTGTCCTTTTGTCTTAACTGATCAAGTCCAATTGTGCTGTTGCCCTACATCCCTGGACACGTGTCCTTCCACTGGAATGTGGTCAGCTTAGCAGGAGCAACCTTCTTAAAACTGACTCCCCTAAGAGCCATCAGTTGCCAATAGTCCCCTAGCTGGGGCGGGGGAGGGCAGGTGACGGGACAGAGGGGACTTTGTGCCCATCTCCCCTCTCCATGCGGAGATGTGGGCTGGCTTGAGCTCGCTGTGCACAATGTCATCGGAGAAGCTTCCTTCTGCAGTGGATGCCGGGTAACACAGAGACCCACAAATGGTCCAAGTGCAGAGAATAAGAGCCTGTGGACTGTTCAGCCCAAAGTGGGACATCTGTACCTCACCCCTCCTCCTAAGGCTCAGGGGTCATTGTGGAAGGGGTCGAGGTAGAAAGGCTGCAAGAGCCTGAGGTAGTGGCTGAGTTCAAGGCAAGAGTGTCCTCAGGACACAAGCAGGGCAGCTGCACACATGAACTCACACCAAGGGGCCTCTTAAGGCAAGAGAGCCCCAAACCATACTCAGAAACACACATCCACACCAGCAGGCTTGACCAAAACAGAACATGTTACACACAAGCACCAGAAGTCAGAGTCTCCAGGCCAACCAGTCAGGGACTGGGGTAGACCCAGTAGCCAAATCTCAAGAGGACATGGACAATTGGGTGATTTCCAGGAGAAAACACAGCATTTTTTTTCTCATGCGTTTAAACAATGTGATTAATTACAATTTAGAGAAACATCTCCTTCATGAACTGGTGGGTTTGTGCCACTGTGATCTCTGAGCCTCACGTTAGCAACCCTCAGTGTGGTGCAGCGATGCAAACATTGCACATTGTGAACACTTACGTTGTTACTGTTACTATATGTAGCGTTATCCTCTAGTTTACAGGACTGAGTCCAAAGCAACAAGAGGAAATGATGTTGCAAACATAAAGGACAAACAGGACAGTGGAAAACAATGCAAAGCAGACCCACGTGTTCTGGATGGCGAATCTTACACACGTGGGAGCATCAGGTAAAGAGCTACGACCACCACATGCCTTAGCACCAGTTCCATTGGACCGACAGTCCACTTGTCCTGAGCCCCAGACCACCAGCCGGGTGGGACCTGGTCAAGTTCAGCCCTGAAGCTTCCAGTCTTCCACAAAGTGTGAAGTGTTGCTTCCAGCAAACACATCAAATTTCTCCAACAAATGAAAAAGTAACATTTTATCACTAAAAGTGATAAAAATTTGGGTAAATTATATCTAAACCATACAGGCTTCAGAGTTTTGGCTTTGTGGTAAAACCAGGTTCAAATGGCACAACTGCCAAGAAGCTTCAACACACACACACACACACACACACACACACACACACACCCTGTAAAGGCATGTGGAAAGCATTCTAGCACTCCCCAGCCATCAGGTTATTATTTTCTATTTTCATTTTTAAATTTTTATGTGTGGGGTATTTTGCCTGTATGTGTGTATGCGCATCATGTGCTTGCAGTGCCCACTGAGGCCAGAAGAGGGCATCATATCCCATGGAACTGCAGTGGTTGTGAGCCACCTCCCAGGTCCTCTGCAAGAGCAGCCAGTGCTCTTAACCACTGAGCCGTGTCTCCAGCCCCAATCATAATAGTTTACTGCTCTATCCCAACATCTTTAAAAGAAACCAAACTTCATTAAGTCAAAGAACCCTGGAATTATTCTGCATTCATTATAACCAACTCATCAAAAAACTCTGAGAATGATTTTGTATTAATTATGAGCAAATCCTCAAGGAGCTCCCCTCACAGCCCATTTCCATGCATTCAGTGTTCTGGGAATATTAATGTGCACGAGCTGCCCCAGCTCCGGTCACAGCGTCCTTATTATATCATGACTTTGTTGTGATCTGCTGGAGTGGAAAGCAGATTCTGGAGCACTGTGGGGACATCTAAGCCTGTGGAAGACACTTCGCCTTTAAGGTCGGAACAGTTCTAAAGTCGAATGTGACCCTGCCTAAACACAGGCTTCCTTCTGGGAGACGTCACATTTGCATCTTGCAAACCTGTGGTCACCTCTCCTGGGGTTCATTAACACCCGCCTCTGTAGGAAGAGGCAGTCAGGAGTGTGGGGAAGTCATTCTTTCCACAGTCAATCATTGCTTTACCACTGAAGCCAGTCCATAGGCTAAGGCAACTCCAACCCCTTTCCTCTTCCCTCCATCCTCCCGTCCATCCTCCCTCCCCACTCCTTCTTTTCTCTTTTTCTTCCTCCTTTTTTCCTCCCTCTTTCCTCTCCCTCCTCGATTCCCTCTGTCCCGTCCTTCTATGTGGTTTTTGGTTTGTGTGTTTGTGTATTTGTTTGTTTTGGAAAAAAAAATCTTGTTACATAACCCTGAATAGCCTGGAACTCACCAAATAGACACTGGTGGCCTCAAACTGTGGCTGTGATCCTCCTGCCTCTGCCTCCCAAGAGCTAGGATTCCGGCATGTACCACCACACCCAGCCTAAAACTGCTTCAACAGAATGTGCAGGGTGAACTCAGCGGCCCCTGTCTTGGACCCTGTGCTCGGGTATGAATGGAAACACCGGTGAACTGTGGGTTTCTAAGTCACAGAGCATTCTACTGCTCAGCCTCCCTTCCCTGAGGATAACAAGTACCAGCCACAGCAGCCATGGTGCCACGTAAACACAAGTCCACATTTCACTGAGGTTAAAAGCTTCGGAGCCATCTTGGTCTATCTTCATTCCACACATGTCCTGACCAGAGATGCCCTCATCCTAATCTCTGAAACCTGTGAACTGACTTCATATGGCAACAGGATTCTGCAAACATGATTGAATGAAAGAACAAAGCTTGAGGCAATAACCTGGATGACCCAGGTGGACTCGGTGAGTCCTAAGGTCTCCTGAGACATTGAAGTCATGGGGACTGTGACCTCAGAAGCAAAATGCTGGAATTTGGCAAGAAGGGATCATGGCTAAGAGGGACGGGACTGCCAGAAGCTTTCCAGCTTTCTTTCTCAAGGCATAAAACCAAGTCTCTGGAAGGAATCAAGCCTGCCCAACACTTTGGACTTCTGACCCCCTGCAGCACACAAGAACAATCACCTGTGCTGTTTTATACTCTCCATTTATCATCACAGTTGCTACAACAACTGCAAACAAATATAAGGTGGTGTGTATGGAGAGCCTTTCAAGACTCAAGTGCACAAGGCTTGTCCTGCATGCAGCGGTGTTCAGAGCTGGGCCCTGAGAGGTGACTGAGTCCTGAGGGCTGTGACTATACCAGCCAGTCACAGGTGGATTCATAGCTAAGTGGCTGCACCTTCTACAGGTCCTACAGCTTCCTACAGTGCCACGGCTGGAGGCAAAGTCTTCAACATGAGGGTGGGGTGCAACCCAGATCCAACAACAGCACTGCGTACCTGAGAAGAGGGAGGACGCGCCTTATGAATGGTTGTCTTGGAACCTGGCAGCACGCTACACAAAACATCATTTCCACACAAGCTCAATAACAATGCACACTAACCTCTGATTGTCATTTATAAATCAATGTCCGCCCACACCTAAAGTCAGTCATCGTGATATCCCAGCTCGAGGGAACCGAATCACCCAGTGCCTCTAGGATTCTCACATGTGTCCACTGCGCTCTCACAGCCTCAGCCACAGCTGACACCCCCAGAAAGGGCCAAGTGCCCCGGCCCGTGGCAGCTGCTTCCCTGTAACCAACGCAACTGGGATTGCATAGAGGGACACATGGGTGTCCCGTAAGTCCAAAGTCTGAACACAGACGTAGTGTTTAAAAATCAGATCAGCAAAGTGTGGGGAGGGGGTTCACGTGGGTTGTCAAGTCTCTTCGCTCACTCTGCTTTAGGCTAACTTTTAAAATAAACTTGGGCCCAGCAGTTCAAAGCACACGTGGCTCTTCTAGGAGACCCAAATTCCGCTCTCAGCACCCACATGGTGCCTCACAACCACATGTCACTCTAGCTCCAGGCCCTCTTCTGGCCTCCAAGTGAACTGCACCGCCCCACAGATGTGTAAATTAAAAAAACAAGCTTTAAAAACAAGCCTGCTTTGTTGAAGTTGGATGTTTTCGCCCCTGTAGACAGCAGCCTGTAACCCCACAGCAACTGTCACTTCAATGACATCGTCAGCAACAGCTAATTAACAGGTGCCACTCCAGCTGCTGCAGCAATGTCAGACCCTCCAAGCGAGACACCCAGCGGGAGCACACTCAGCATCTCCAGGGACTTTTGTGTGGTGGGGTTGTTGCTGTTTTGTGGAGAAAATAAATATTATCTAGGGAAAAACTGACAGCCTTAACATGTCAAAGTTCTGGAGACTTTGAAGCTACAATGAAAATCAAGTCAGGTCATGAGGTGACTTCAGCGTGTTCACTTACATCCAAACAGAGCCAGTGAAGACACAGCAGGGACCACAGGGCACGGAAATGAGGACACACGGCTGAAAACAGACGAGCGGGCGGGCATGGTGCTCGCTCTCCTCCATGCCCTGGGCCTCTGATGGCTCCCGATACCTCTAGAACCTCTAGAACCTCTAGAACCCACCTCTCCACTGCCTGCAGGACACCAGGCTCTGGAACACCCTCCCCCACTCCTCAGTGTCCTGGACCCCCACCCCCACCTCAACTCAGAAGCACGCTGCTCACTTGCCTGAGAAACATCTGTCTTCC